AACAACCCGGAAACTCCCACATAAAACTCGTCAAATACAAAGAAATATAGACTCACAAACACACGCATAAATACACACGCGCACATATACACGCACAAATGCGCACATATACACTCACAAACTCACATATAAACCTATACACGCAGACATAATCATATGGACACAATGATACCAATTCCGGATCATACTGAAGTATTAATCGGGCGAACAGCCCTAACCAGGTTGTAACAAGCCCCAATCGCGGACTGTCAATCATTCTGACGTTGTTTTTAGCCGCGTATGTCAAAATACAATATGGGAACGGAAATAAAGAGAGATGCTTCATCGTGCAAGTTAAACAAAAAAATTAGATGAAATAAAAAAAGGCCCAAATTCCCTTAGGAATCAGGAATTGTTCTTGGATACACATAAATATGAATTTACAGAGTTTAATGGATAAACTGTCCTCTAAATTACGCAAAAAATGAAAATAATACTGACATCTCATTTTAACAGATATATTTACCCAAATTACACAAACATAGCTTGAAATGCTAAAGTATAAATTTATTCAATAAAATTGGGAATTTATATATATATATATATATATATATATATATATATATATATATATATATATATATATATATTGTTTTAATTATATGATAAATAATATATCTAGTGGAACCACGGTTCACAAATTTAGTTCATTCTTGAAGCCCGTTCGTAACCCGAAATGTTCGTTAACCAAAACTATTTTTCCAATAAGAATCAATGTAAAATGGATTAATCAGTTCCTGGTTCCAAGATGATTACTTATCTAAACTTTAACAACAGAGCTTTGTGCACAAGTTTATACACAATCTAATGAAAATCATTAAATCTAAGAAAAAAAAGACCAATACTAAACAAATAAAATATAGACGAACATTTCAATTTAACCGTACCTGTAGTGATTTTCCAATCGCAGCTTAGATGTGGCACAAGGTCGAAAGCATAGAGCACCCAGTTGAAGAGAGTTGATGGCTTAAATGGAAGTGGAAGGAAAGAGATGTTATTGTTTGGAAAAGGGAAGGAAAGATATGATCATCTCTATTTATAAGAAAGGTATAGATTACCATATGAGACTGAGTAGGAAGAGAAAATATCATCAACAATTGTTTTTCTCTTAACTTTTCTTTTTCCTTTAACAAAATCAATGCTAGTTTCCTTTGGAGCCATGACAGTAAAGAGAAAAAAAGGCACTGTACAATAAAAGGTTGCTCTGTATATTTGATGATTAAAACAAAAAAAATCACTACAGAATAGCTTTCATTTTTCAGCACTAAAACTGTGCGTTCTCAGGCGATGGTAAATAACTGGTGAGTCAACACACACACAAGCACGCACACACACACACACGCACACACAAACACATACATATATATATATATATATATATATATATATATATATATATATATATATATATATATATATATATACATGAATATATATATATATATATATATATATATATGAAATGGACAAAGTCCAACAATTATTTTAAGACATTTTTTCTGTTTATACGTTCTTTTTATAGATACAAATATTTAAGTAAATGCTCTGTTCATAATAAACAGTATTAACGACATTTACTGGCCTCAATGTCCGAGAAATTGTCATAGAAAATATGCGTCCTCCGACAGAAATCGAACCTGCATCCTGAAATGAACCGTCATATAGCCTGACATGCTTTACCGATATATATATATATATATATATATATATAAACAGAGCATTTACTTAAATATGTGTTTCTATAAAAAGAACGTATAAACATAAAAGATGTCTTAAAACATATATTTACACACACATACACTCACACACACACATATATATATATATACACACATACACATATATATATATATATATATATATATATGTGTGTGTGTGTGTGTCTGTGTGTGTGCGTGTGTGTCTGTGTGTCTGGGTTTTGGCTATATAATCTAATCGATTTCATTTAGATCTTTTTTTCTTTGTGTTTCCATCACGCATTTAGATAACATAATGTATGTCAGGTATGTTGTGATGTTGTAAAGAACCTGTGCGCAAATTTACTCTAGATAAATTAGCGATTAATGCGCTTTCTAAATATTTTCGTCCAAGTGAATTGTTTTCTCATTTAATTAGAGGAACATTTTTTTATATAAAAAATGTGATCAATCTTTTTACAGTGAGCAACTAATGCTTTTGACGTGTTTTTAAAAATATCCTTTTTTGTGTTCATGTAATCTTTTATTTAAACTTCTTGAAGTTTCTCCAATGTATTCTTTCTGACAATCATTACAGAGATAGAATATATATATATATAATTCCCAGCACCCCTTCCTCGTTTGCACATGTATACGTACCAACATAATAAATTTAGTCCGATGAAGCCCTAAAGGATGAAAATCGTGACAAGTAAACTTTTTCCACTTTGTCATACAATTTTCTCAGTATATATATATATATATATATATATATATATATATATATATATATATATATATATATATATATATATGGTGGTACTCGCTTGGAAAAACCTTGATAGCTCGACTTGTAGTAGCTAAGAAAAAAGGAGGAATAAAAAAGAAAGAACCAAGGACATTAAACCAAGGCAAAAACCATCGTCCAGTGTTCAAGCCCGAGTCCAAAAAAAAAACCTCCAAAACGAGTAAAAAGATAACTACGTAAAATGCTCAATACACAAAGTAGAGCAAAACCTAAGACAGGCTTGCCTGGCTCCTTTGCCTGGCTCCTTACGATTATCTTATATATATATATATATATATATATATATATATATATATATATATATATATATATACACTTTTTTACTTCAAGTGAATAACATCTTCAAATACGAGAAACCTAAAAAGAGATCCCATGCCCTTAATGCTCTAAAAGAACTATTTCGTTTAAAAACTGGAGAACGTTGACTTTAATCATTCCTCATTATGTCTTTATAAAGCCTTGTTTCCAACGTTGCCTATCATTTTTGTCGACATAGCAAACGACAGATAAATAACCGTCGGCCATAAACACTGAAATAATGCACAACTATTAAGTCGGCCTCGGTACTTAATTTCGGAAAAGATTTTCAGATGTTTTTTTAATGTCGAAAGACACTGAAAATATCGGTTGTCATTGAAGTCCAGCCTGTAATGATATTTGAGACAGCAGATGAAAATTCTTGATTTGTGAACGCATAATCACCGTTCCCATTCTCTGTAATTTTTTTTTTCGAATAGGATGGGGGCATTTTTATAACCTGACAACATTTAAGGAGAATTCCATGTCACACAATGTAGTGGTGTGTCCCAGTTGCTCAAGATAATTTTTTTTTTTTTTTGCTGTTTACTGCGATTGTTTTAGTCTGGTTTAACTAAAAAAGGATGGATCTTTTTCTATGTGACGTATCCTTCAGAGCATGGATGAACATGGCTTTCCACAACTTCCCATATTTTATTGCTTTTAGCAATGTTTTTTTTATTTTCTTTTTGACATTCCTCCAATTTACTGTTAATGCCGGTCTCCTCAGGGCTATATATACACTGGGGAGAACGGCATACGTTGTTTCTAATTTTCATCCACGACCTTCCTGCTGTCATCAGTTCTCAGCTCAGTGTCTATGCTAATGACACAACTATTTACTCCTGTCTTAATAGTAAGTCTTATCGTTCGATAAGATCAAATTATCAGTTTGTTGCAAAAATGACCTACAATCTGTTGTTAATTGCGACAAGTAATACCTTGTTAATTTTAACGCCTTTAAAACGAAACTGCTATCTAAGACACCAATTTCTGCCTTGCATCAATCACGCTAATGCTTACCTCTAGGGGAATGATTAATTGCACCTTCTCAAGCGTTCTCTGCTTAAATGAAGTGGAAAAAGTATATTGGATCAATTTCTATATCTGTAACTATGAAAGTTGGTTCACTGTGTCACGCCAGACATTTTTCTTGTCAGAATCTCTCATTGAAATTTATAAGTCTACCATTTCTCCATGCTTTCAATATTGCTGCTACATATGATCTGATGCTCTTGCTATATATAGAGAGACTCTTGATAACATCCAAAAATCTGCAATATCGTCAGGCCTGACCTGGCATCTCGGCTTCAGTTACTTTCACACCATCGTAACGTAACTTCTATGTGCCTTTTCCTGTAAATACTTTCAAGGTAATTCTTCTAATGAACTTGCCTCTAAGGTACCTAGACTTTATGAATTTAAGCACAGCACTAGATTGGCAACAAGATCTCCTCATTCCGCAATTGAAATGTCTAAATGGAACCGTAGGTTCTATGTTAACAGTTTCTTTTCTCGCATTTCTCGTGTGTGGAACTCTCTTTCGGCTTTTTGCTTCCCAATCAACTTTGATGCAATGTCAATTGTTATCTACTTAATCCCTCTTCTTTTATTGTTCTTGAACCATAATAATGTTTTTTTCTTTCTTATATTCGTTCACACTCAGTAACCCCTTGTCTCTTAGTGCCTTTATTGCCATCTTTAAGATAAAATGTTTTTTTAAAAACAATACATAAACATTGATAGATTACGCGCTGTTTCTATCACATTCCCAAAGCCTTCTTTCCTTCAATATGTCCAGTGTGTGAAACATACCCAAGCCCTCTTTCATAAATTTCAACTGTTTGTTTCTAATTCTATGAGTTCTTTTTGTTTCCATTTTTCTTAAAAACTTCCACGTTGCTCATACGCGTCGTCCATCGCATTCTCAATATCCTTCTGTAAAACTAGATCACTGTTGCCTCCAGTCTTTTCATCATGGATTGATATGGTCTGCGCGATAAACTTGCTGGATGCTATTCTACGTCGGAGTGTCGTATACATTTATTGCTTTATCATAAGTCCGGTACAATATTAGTCTGTTGATATTAAAGGCATGACACCTGAGAAAAAAGCCTGAAAAAGCCAGAAAATAATAATTATAATATGTTTATTTGTAATCAGCTTGTTTTTCGTTTTAGTTACGTTTTGCAAACATACGGACTCATTCTTTCTTCATATCTCCATATTCTTTCTTTCTTTTTCTGTCTATATGTCTGCCTACTCGTCTTAATATCGCTATATTCTTTCTTTTCTTCTTTCTTTCTTTCTTTGTCTATATATTTGCCTTCTTGTCTTAATATCGCTACATTCATTCTTTTCTTTTTTTTTTCTTCTTTTCTGATTTAAACCTACTTTTTCATTTTTCTTTATATGCCGCTATTTTTGTTTGCTTTTTATTGTCTACTTTTTCTTTCTTTCATTCATTCTTGATATAGCCGTAGTTATTGCTTTCTTTTTCCTTTTTCCTTCTTAATATCTACCTACTCTTTCTTTCTTTTTTCTTTCACATTTCCTTCTTTTATTCTTGAATTCGACCAACTTTTTCTTTGTTTAACATTTAACTACTTATTCTCTTATCTTTTCTTTTCCGTCTTTCTTTCTTTATTTCTTTCTTTCTTTCAACCGACCCCACGGAAGTGTCTGTCGCCAGTGTGTCTCAGTAATCTGGATTCTTAATCCAATCGTCCCTTTACCTTTCGTGCCAATCATATTTTACTAAGTAGGCATTTACGGGGTGAGATTGTAAGCCCCAACCTCGACTTTTTCCCCTATTTTTCACCCACAGCTACGGCAAAGCTGGATTCCACTCTTCTCAATTCCACGATGTCCATCACTTCAACCAAGCCTACACTGTCCAGTCTGACCTCCAGGTTTAACCCGGAAGTCTCAGATATCTGAATATCTACCATCCTTTCTTTCTTTCTTTCTTTCTTTCTTTCTTTCTTTCTTTCTTTCTCCAGTTTTTCATTTTTCTTTCTTTCTTTCTTTCTTTCTTTCTTTCTTTCTTTCTTTCTCCAGTTTTTCATTTTTCTTTCTTTCTTTCTTTCTTTCTTTCTTTCTTTCTTTCTTTCTTTCTAGCTCATTTATTTTGTTTATTACTTTTATATGTGTAGATTTATATCTAATATTCTGCTCAGACTCCATTTTACCCCAGCCAAGGTGATAATGCCACTAAGATACAAGATGCTACTGGGAGTGAAATAAAAATTAAAGTTATCTTGAATGGCCACTCTTCTAGTTCTTTTTGCATACATGCAGGTGATCCTCAGGGATCTATCCTTGGACCTACGTTCTTTCTAGTTTTCATAAATGACTTTCCTGATGTCATCAGTTCTTGGTGTCGATGCTGATGACAAAACTATTTAATCCTGTCTTAATAGTAAGTCTGGTACGTTTAATAAAATCAATTTGACAGGGTATCTCAAAATTCAATTTGTTATTAACTGGGGCAAGAAACGACTTGTTAATTTTAACACATCCAAAATGAAACGGCTCTCTATTAATCATTTTAAAGAATAGTTTTTGCCTACCATCAGCATGACTGATGCTAACCTCCAGGAGAATAGCTCACTACCTTTTCTTGATTTGACATTTAACACTGACATGAATTCGACAATTATATTGAATTCATTGCTTAGTCTGCACCTTAAATATTTATACGTCTACCATTCGTATGTGCAAAGAATATTGTTACCACATATGGTCTAGTAATTCTGCTGATTATCTCGAGATTTTTGACAAAATCCAAAGAATCTGCAACGTTATCGGTCCTGACCTAATATCTCGGCTTCAGTCATTTCCCCACCACAGTAACTTACCTTTCCTGTGACTTTTCTATAAATATTTTAGTTGTCATTGCTTTGAAGAGTTTTCTTCTTTTGTACCTCGACTTCACGAATTTAAGCGCCGTACTGGATTGGCAGCTAGGTCCCACAGTTTCACTATTGAAACTGCTAAAGATAACCTTAATTTCTATATTAACAGTTTTTTCCCGCACTTCTCCCATGTGGAATTCTCTTCCGGCTTCTTGCTATACTGTCAACTACGATCTTCAAAATTTTTAATGTAATGTCAATTTTTATAATCTGTCTCCCTGAAACATTTCTGTTATTGTCCTCTCAGTTTCTTTCATTCTTAATAAGTCCTTGCATCTTTGTGACTTTGCATTGCCTTGCTTGAAATGAAGGACCTGTTAGAAGAATATATGCAAGAGAAATGATATGTTCGTTTTCAGGACTCGTGAAAATTCTATGGATCAAACGAGGATTTATAATTACACATGTGGAAGTATGATGATCTACAAAGATTAGTTTCAGCTTTTCTTATTAAAAAATATGTTTGTTTCTTTTTCTAGGTTTGCCAGCTATTCAGTCTGATCGGCAAAGTTTGACAGAGAACAAACGTTCAAGATTTCTTTAACATGAATCCTGGAGTCAATTAAGTGTCACTCGTCGATCTGAGAGGCGTTAATATCCAGTTTTTGTACTGTTGAATGCTTAAACCACTTCGTTTGTTTTAGGAATTGATGATTCCTATGGATGTAGATAACGAATACCGTGTAATGTGAGGTAACAACAATTAAAAGTAATAATAATTAAGAAGCACAAAATATTGATGCATAAAAACTGAAAATAAAATTTGATCAGATGTGTTATGAAAATAATTATTTGTTACATTAAAGCATTGATAAGACTATATATATATATATATATATATATATATATATATATATATATATATATATAATTATGTATATATATATATATGTACTTAGTTCATGTCACGTTAAGTGGAAAACAATTACAACAAAATAATTCGTGGATTTACCAAATAACAAAATTCACATTTATTTCGTCTTTGAGTTTTGATTTTAAATGAAAAAATTACAGCCTGACGATGAGGACATGAAGTTCTTGAAAGTTCTTGCTGCTCTAAAAAATAGACCAGATCCATCTGACAACAATTTTATACATAAGGATCGCATCATTCAGTGGATTGATTGTAGTTAAATGCTTATATTAAGTCTGTTAGCGAAGAGAATTTGCGATTAATTGCATTAATATTGCTAATTGATTCAATATATGATTATCTCTTTATAATATATATATATATACTCTACAGTTCAAAATTTTGAGAGGACGCCTGGTAATTTTTCAAATGTACTCATAAAGTAGTTTCTTGTAATTAAGTAAGAGAAAATAATTATACAAGGTTAAAAAAGTGGGACATGATTTTTCATTAGAAATTTTATTATAACAAAAAGAAAAAATATTTTATGATTAAATTTTGCTCTCGCCAAACTCTCCTCCTTTAGCCTTTATTACTGCAGCATAAATTTGGGGTATTCGTTGCAAAGGTTTCTCAAAGTATAAGTTTGAGAAATCATTCCATTCTTTTTTCAGTGAGTCTAAGAGCACTTTTTTCATTGTATTTTTTCCAATTCTGTCAAGTTCATCCCATGATAATTCTGAGGGTGGCTTCAAACTTTTGAACTGTAGTGTATATATATATATATATATATATATATATATATATATATATAAATCATATATATATATATATATATATATATATATATATATATATATTATATAAATATATATATATATATATATATATATATATATATATTAGAAAAATCTATGATGAAAATGGACTTCATCGGACTAAAGTGATGTTTACGTCGATGAGACTACACATGCGCACGAAAGAAAAGTGACGCTGAATTTTTTTTTTAATTTTTGTTTAAAAATTTCATACATAAAAATGTACATATATATATATATATATATATATATATATATATATATATATATATATATATATATATATGTTACGATGAAATTACGTTTGTTCCCGTGTTAATTTCAACTGAATTACTGTGCCATCTTCATGTGTTTGTGCATGTATGTGTATGTATGGATTTTATATTCTTTTATGATACTGAATGCAAAATAATTTCCTTTTTTGTGGCGGTTTGGCATTGCCAAAAGAAATACTCAGGAATGTTCTCGATTTGAGGTTGATAACAGTTTTTGTTCATAAGCTATCTCTGGAAAAACCATCCCAATCTATTTCGTCTGGATCTGTTAAAAAGATCCTTTGTGTATCAAAGACAATTCTTCTAAATGAAAGCCGTAAAAGAGGCAGAAAAGTGTTTATACAAAAGACAAGGATAAACACAAAAATACGCCTGAAAATAGCTTTACAGATAAAGTAGAGAATGCGAAAGATGAACAATAGTTGAACTGTGCGGCCGAACAATTAAAAAAAGAATCGTATAGGTCAGAGGATTTTTGTGATAAAAACGTTGAGCTTGCGTGATGGACGAGAGAGTTGCTTATTCTCCGAGAATAAAAAAAAAAACAATATCGAATGATGATATTTATGTCTATTAGTCGTTCTCCTTTTATTTCCTGCTTTGTTTTTGTCTCTTTTATTCAACTAGACCTCGTAAATCTCTCTCTCTCTCTCTCTCTCTCTCTCTCTCTCTCTCTCTCTCTCTCTCTCTCTCTCTCTCTTATATATATATATATATATATATATACCGCTACTTATTATTAACACCTTACATTCTACCCTACCCAATTTAGACAATTCGCCCTAGCTGTTACCATGGGGATTTTGATTTCAATTTTTAAAACAAGTAAATTTCAGATATTCGTTATTCCAACAAAAAATTTCGCTTGAAGATGGAACGGAGCCCATTTTAATTTCAACTCAATTTAATTTAAAGGATTATATTGAAGTTTTCGGCTCTTGTTTTGAAACATGAGACCTCTTATGTAGCGATTTGGAACCATATTTTTAAATAAATAATTATATATATATATATATATATATATATATATATTGATGTTTAAAAGAGGGATTATATTTTATCCATGAAAAGGATACAAAGTATCACAGCGATTAAAAGTTTAGGTACCTTTCGTCCGACGCATCTTCAGAAAAAATATCATCGTCAATTAAAACTAAGTGGTTGAAAAGAAAAATTATTTTCAGCAACTGGTGTTAAAATTTTCTGAAGATGTGTCGGCTGAAAGGTACCTAAAACTTTGCACACTATTTTGAAAAGTCAAAGAGCAACTTGAATAAGGGCGTGAAGTTTTAAGAAAAGTAATTTGAAAATGACTGCGCATAAAATACATTATGAAAGGAAATAGCTCTTGATAAGGTATTTCATGCGCATGCGTTTGTGCGTGGAGTGGCGCGCACGCGCACTGATGCTAGAGCGTAGAAATTTACTTTCTAGGATTTCTTTTATGCATTTCTTTCTTCAAATCTCATTTATCTCTTCGCAAATTCTTCACTAGTGAGAGTCCAGTTCACTAACCCTCATTCTGTTTAGCTGGTATAAAAGTCTTCAGTATTTTGAACAGAATCTTTTTATGCATACACACTCACCGTATCATTGTTCAATTACCAAAGCATTTCTACTTGCTTTGTATCACTTTTCACATAAGTTGGGTATTCTATCATCAACCTTCATGGAACCACTGACCAAAACCACACAATTAACAGTCTAAGGGGTGCCTACGCGAATCCACTAATATATCTTCTCCTTCTAGCTATGGGTTAAACAGTTAGATGTTGTTGCCAAGAATATGGCAAAGTTTAACTGAAGGTTTCAAACAGTAACTTGGCTTGGGACAGTTATGCAGGATGATTTTAGTGCCTGTATGATGAGAAAAATGCCTGTTGTATTTTAGACCTTCCATATCTTCCGCAGAAAACGCGGCACCTCGATATCCGACATGGAGACTAGAAACATGAAAAATGATTTTGTTTTTTATCTAGGAATTCCTAAAATGTTTCCAGCATAAATTGATGCCAATTTATTTTTCGCTTCAGACCATTTCGAATAACGGGGGAACCTTCCTTATGAATGTCTTTCATAAAAGTACAATAACATAAAGCAAAATTTCGAAAAGGGGTTGATATATCTGATGATTTGTTTTTTATGGCTTATCAACCTTTTGCTGGTTATTTAAAGCCAGAATTTTTTTTCTGATTGTAAGAATGTGTCTGTAGATAATACTGATTTACTGATACAAGTCCTACTAATTAACCCATAGATGGGGGAGAAGAGATAGATTCATACCATTCCCAA